TACTAGTGGCGAAGAACCCTACAGAGAAGTTTCTTAATTGTTGGGTTAAAAGCCCATCAACCCTATGTGGTCATTGGGTGACAGCCAATAAACTTACGCTTAACACTGACAAAACCTACTACATTATGTTTGGTAGCAGAGCAGGAGATGCGCAAATTAACATTAAGATCGACAACACTCTAATTGCCAGACATAATGAGGGCAAATTCCTAGGCCTATACCTCGACAACAACCTGAACTTCAGCACCCATATCCAACACATAACCAAAAAAGTATCCAAAACGGTTGGGATCCTCTCCAAGATACGATACTACGTGCCGCAAACTGCCCTTCTCACACTATACCATTCACTTATATATCCATACCTCACCTATGCTATCTGTGCTTGGGGTTCAACTGCAGCAACACACCTAAAGCCAATAATAACCCAACAAAAAGCCGCAGTAAGAATAATCACTAAATCCCATCCCTGGCAACACACCCCCCCACTCTTCATAGATCTAAACTTACTCCCTGTTCAGTACATCCACACTTACTACTGTGCAATCTACATCTACAGGACCTTAAATTCCAATATTAACCTTGACCTAAAACGCTTTCTTGATAGTTGTGACAGAACCCACAGGCACAACACCAGACACAAACATCTCTATGACATTCCCCGTGTCCGACTAAACCTTTACAAAAATTCAATGTATGTCAAAGGCCCTAAAATCTGGAACACCCTACCTGAAAATTCTAAAACTGCAGACACATTCATCACCTTCAAAACTACCATCAGAAAACATCTTATCTCCCTGATACACCCTGTCAACTAATTACACGAATACCACCTGGTGGTTAACACTTACACTCACTCACCCATTTGACCATAAACAGAAATATCAATCTCAATCTCAAAATAATGAATCTTAACTAGTCATAAGTTGGCCTGTGATACTCCAATACTGAAACTATATATAGTGCCAAAACAAAAGCATTCACATTGCTAAACTCACAAACACTTATTATTTAGTCACTTAGCCATTATACCAACTTACCTCATAATTTTGTAATATTTTAAACTTTAGATTTAATTTAAGTCTGCCCAAAATGCCTAGCCATGCTAGGTGTTCTAGTGGTACACTCTGTAATTATTATTTTACTACATGTAAACCACACAATAACCAAATTCTGTAAACTCAGCATTGTAATCCTTATAGAGAATAAACTTTGAATTTGAATTTGAATTAAGGTCTTAGTTCATCTATGAACCAAAATCAAGAATACCACATAAACTCATGGAGTATGTACACAGAAGATATGTGGAAAATTATTTTTTATTATTTGAGGAATATGTTGAACTCTAACAGTGACAACAATGTTTTAGAAGAAAGCAATTACAAGAGATGGTAAAACAAAGATGTTAAAAAATTAAGTAATTATATTAAATACAGTGGACCCCCGGTTAACGATATTTTTTCACTCCAGATGTATGTTCAGGTGCCAGTACTGACCGAATTTGTTCCCATAAGGAATATTGTGAAGTAGATTAGTCCATTTCAGACCCCCAAACATACACGTACAAACGCACTTACATAAATACTTACATAATTGGTAGCATTCGGAGGTGATCGTTATGCGGGGGTCCACTGTACACTAATTATATATCTATCTCATTCAATTTTATTGCTTGGTTTACTAGGATTAAATACTATCAACTACACGAGGATCGTTAAGGCTGCGTGTCACCATGTACCACCAATGATATATTGTTTAGCAAATTTTGCTATATAGTGCTAAATTACAAAACTGAAAGATCCCCAAAATTCAGATGTATATAATGATTAAAAAATTAGTCAACTGGTAACTTAGTTATGAGACTGAATCTTGTCTAATGACTTTCAAGTTTGTTGTGCTGAATTCGTACAATAGCTCATACAGTAACTATGACAAAAATGATATTCTCAACTGGTTACCACGTAAAAAATACCATTCATAGATACAGATAATTTCAAAATAATTCGAGTTTCCTACCCTGAGTGGTACTGATAAATGAAAGATTGATTAGGCCAGTGGACTAATAAGGCAATATATTAACAGTACCTCCATTTGTATGTACATCCTTGATACTTAGTAGCAGAACACATGTGAGTCCTCCTCTTATTTTAAAGGGTGTCAAGAAACAATTTCCAGCAAAATGATTTTTCTTTACAGCGAAATGACTCGGTCGAATGATCAAGACCTCAATAAAGCATGTTAATTAATAACAAAAAAGGCACAATACCGTGACTGGAACGATACACAAATAACCCACACATAAAAGACAGAAGCTTACGGCGACGTTTCGGTCAGACTTAGACCGAGTCGGACCGAAACGTCGTTGTAAGCTTCTCTTTTATGTGCGGGTTATTTGTGTAAAGCATGTTAATAATATTTTTTAGCCCTTTCTCCTGACGAACGTCCTTCGAGGCCCCAATAAACGGGTCATCATCAAGATGCCATTATCTAATGAACGATATATACATGCATACATACCTAGAAGTCCGAGACGATACTGTGGGATGACAAGGACTATGTCTCGATCCATCAAGTAAGACTCGTCAAGGGCTGCTGCTCCACCCACCACAAAACTACCACCATGCAGCCACACCAATACAGGCAGACTCTTCTTTTCTCCCGACTCAGGCAGCTGCCACATGATAGGAGTTAGGTTAGGTTAGGTAAGGTTCGTCAGGAAACAGGACAAGTGTCTCCTGACGCGGGTCTTAGATGATAACCCACCGTTGGAGCTTTTGGTCATCTGACCGAGGCCTTCCGCTGGCTTACCGGTCCATCCCTTTAAATATTATAGTCATATTTATAACTATTTCTTAAAGACTAAGTACATGTACAAACAACAAAATTAGCATCATTTGAACCTTGGGTACATAATTTTTTTTACAGTGATCTTAAGTACACACAGAGTGTACACTATACATATTTAATTAAGGATACATCAATACAATCAAACAATGAGACTTATATCCACTAGGAGTCCCTGTTTATTTGAATACTCATAAGTGAAAGAACTTGGATTTGATTCCTCGATGAGATGTGACATATAATCATGTTTCCCCATAACCTGTTGCCCTTGTGCAACTATCATTATAAATAAATTCATAGGTGTTAGTCGGCTGTTGTGGGTCACATCATAGGGAATGGTAGTGTGGAAAATACTGTATATATTTTCCAGAAATTCAGTATTTATATGTAAATAGATGGCCATACTGTATTTAATAATATTTGTCATACAAAACGGAAAGCCTGCGTCTGCGCAGACAAGACTCGCCATCTTGGTTTTGAATTGAACAGAACGTTAGAGTGAATGGTAAAATTTTTTCATGCTCTAGAGGTTAAAATTGGGCTGACACCTCTCAAATAGGAGGCGAAATTGTTGGATGTGCATTCCTGCATAATTTGAGTATCAGGCGACTGGACAAGACAGCTCCAGGAACCTCAGATAAGTCTGTTTATGTTTAATTCTGGCCAGTAATTTCATAAATTTAGACAGTGAGGTTTTCTGGGTATAATACACATTAATCTCCAGTCAAATTGGTGAGTGATATTAAGATATATTTTCCTTCTGTTATGTAATTGTGTATATATATAACCAATTATTATTTTTAATATACAGTCCACAAATTTATATATTTACTAGTATTCCTGGTGTATGTATAATTCATTTAATTAATAGGTCCAGAGCAACTTGTGGATATGACAGTGGTAGGTATCGAAGGGGGACATTTTTTTGCGACCTAGGTGTCCCAAATTCCTACTTGTCTATGTAACATTGATAAATAATAATTATCTTTGTTATCATTTACTGTTATGTACATAATTAGTTACATTCAGATAAATGCAATTTTCCACATTTAATTTGCCCGTTGGTCCTTCGAACCGGAGGTAATTAGTGAAGTCATTAATTGGTTAATTACTTAATAATTATATGTGAAATGACAGAAGGAGGTGGATGTTAAGTTCACAAATTTATTTAAAGTGTAGTGGATTATAATTATTACAATATTAATTTGATAAGATAATTCTGGCCAAGATTTATATCAATGTATGTGTAATTGATAAGGCAAGTGTTGCTAATTATATTAATGTGTATAATATTAATTTTGCTATGCCAAATTCTGGCAAGGATTTATATTAATTTGTATAATAATTCTGATAAGCCAAGGCTGGCTAAAGGTTTGTATTAATGTACATTTAAAATTTATATATAAATTTCTTACGTGTGTAATTGCTAAGCTCAAGTGTAGCTAACATTATTAATGTGTATTTAAAATTTATATTACAATTTTTTACATGTGATTGCTAAGCTCAAGTAGCTAGAATTTATTTAAAGGTAAGTTGTACTATTTACCTTTATAAAGTGCATAATTTAGTACATAATCAGTGTTATTAAGTTGAATTTAATACATTGCATCATGGCTGAAAATGAGGAAATTAATATAGAAAAACATATGGAATATAGAGTAAAGAAAGCATCAATACAGGCTAAAAAAGTTCATGTAACCAAGGCATATAATAAGTGCTTGGAATTAATGAATCAAGAAACTGTGAATACTGATTTAAAATTGTATTTAGATGCTTTAGGTAATAGATATGATTCATACAAATTATATTACAACAAATATGAAGGAGATTTATTAGTAAACTGTGTAGATGAGACTGAAGTAGATCTCATAATTAATCAGTATTATGAATTAGAGGAAAAGATTCTTTCTTGTAAAAGTCAGGCCTTGAATAAATTAAAATGTGTAAACCAAGCAGTTGGTCAGTCTGCTCCAACAAATAATATGTCTTTGCCAAAACTCCCAGAATTGTGTTTGCCTGTGTTTAATCCTGGAGAAAATTGGGAGGAATTTTGGTCAATTTTTAAAGCAGCTGTGCATGACAGGAGTGACTTAGCCTGTGTAACTAAATTATTTTACCTCAAAGGACAGGTAAGAGGAGATGCTCACATACTCATACAAGCCTTTCCCAATGTAAATGACTCTTACAAGGAAGCAGTTGACTTGTTGAAGGTCACTTATGGTAATATAGAACAAAGTAGGTTGGATCTAGTGAATATCATTGTTAATTTAAAATCCCCAGATCACACTTACAAAGGTTTACAGCAGTTTAGAGTTAAACTGGAGAGCACTCTCAAAACTTTAAGTAATAAATATAATCTGAAGAATTCAGACTGGTTATTGAGTGCCATGATACAGAATAAATTAAACTATGAACATTAAAATGGTATAAAATACCGACAGGTTGACTCTCAAACAAATATCACAAGGGTTATTTTGGTCTGGAGGAAATAAGACTAGGTCTACAAGAATTGATTGTGCAGTTGCAGACCAGCCAACTAACTCATTTTAAAGATGCAACACATGATAACTCTGAGGAAGTTTCACAAAGGGAAAAATTATCCCAATGTTAATAATCAAAATTCATTTCCTAAAAGGAGTTACATAGGGGCATATCAAGCAGCAGGAATTAGAAATAATGATTCTCCACAAGGTAAGAAGAATAAGTACCCTCCTAAAACTAGCCCAGTTAATAAGAAACCAGTCAAAGAAAGGAGAGATTGTCTTTTCTGCAAGGGTACTCATTTTTCTAAGAATTGCAATGCATACAATTCATGGAATGATAAAGTTGAAAGATTGGAGGAACTTGACAGATGTATCAGATGTTTAGGTAATCACAATGTAAAGGATTGTTATGCCTAATTAAACTTCTGTTATCAATGTCACAAAGGAAGACACCATATAGTCATGTGTAAGGGTCTATATGATAATGTTGATAATAATGATAATGTTGACAATCCTGACACAACAGTGGCTAATGTAAAAATTGCTGCTAATGTTAATAATGATGGTTTTGCTGAAGTAGCCTTAACTGTGTTACAGGTAAAAATTGATGATAAAAGGCATAAATCAAAAAATGTAACTGCATTATTAGACCAAGGATCCCAATGTACTTTCATTAAACGTAAATGTCTTGATGGTATGAAAGTACAGATGGGAGATCCCACAACTTTAAAATTATCTGGTTTTCTCTCGGATAAAAGGGCTCAATTGTATGACACTGTTTACGTAACTGTCAGGTTGGGCAATGAGAAAAAACGTGTTAATGCAGTAATTGTAGATAGACTTCCAGAGAAATTATCTACAGTAGGGCTTAGTAAAGCTACAGAAAGACTTTCACATAATGTAAATTTAGCACCTTCTGGTGTAAGTGATGATTCTGTAGGCCCAATAAATATTTTGATAGGTAGTGACTATTATGCCTCCTTTGTAAAGGGTATGGTAAAGAAATGTGGTGTCACCCTTTTGAAGACTGCAGGAGGTCATGTAATGTATGGTAGGATTCCTCGTAATAATAATTCATGACTAGAGGAAACTACAAATACCATAACTGTGTGTCTTACTCATGAAGTCGTGCCCCAGTATAATTCTTCCATAGAGGATGGTGTTGAGCCAGTGCATAAATTGTGGGAATTAGACAGCATTGGAATAAATGTAAATGAAGAAAGTCCAGACGATTCTTTTACTCAGGAGCAATACCTGAGAGATGTAAAATTTGAATCTGGACAATACTGGGTACGACTTCCGTGGAGACTGAACCATCCAGAATTGCCCACTAATTACAGAATGGCATATGGACAATTAAAGGCTCAGCTCCGCGAACTGGGTAAGACACCAGAATTGTTAAATGCCTATAATGATATAATTGCTGAGCAGTTAATTAATAAATTTATAGAAGAGGTACCTCCTGAGCAAGCCAAAATTTATGGTCACTATTTGCCCCATCACGGAGTGAAGAAGGATTCTAAGACCACTCCTTTGAGGATTGTGTTTAATTGTAGTGCCAGGAGTAACAAAAATGTACCTAGTTTAAATGACGGTTTGATGACAGGTCCGTCGTTGACGGAAAAATTAGGAGATATGTATCTTATTAAATTTCAGAGTGAAGCACTATGCCTTTACGGCTGACATAAGTAAAGCTTTCCTAAGAGTGGGTTTACAAGAGGCTGACCGGGATTGTACCCGCTTCTTATGGCCTGAGAATCCTATTGACCCACTTAGCCCTCTGAAAACCTTTCGCTTTAGGAGCGTATTATTTGGTGCTACATCCAGTCCGTTCCTACTTCAAGCGACGATAAATGCACACCTTAAATGTACGGGAAGTCCACTGAGTAAAGTAATGAGCAAACAATTCTATGTGGACAATTTCCTGGGTGTGACGTCAAATGAAGAGGAACTGTTTATGACTTATGGAGAGGTTAATAAAATAATGCAAAGTGCAAATATGCCTCTGAGGGAATGGAATAGTAATTCGTCCAAATTAAAGGACAAAATAAGTAAAGATTACCCTGGAGATGAAGTGCCAAAATGTAGTAATGTATTGGGTTTAACTTGGGATACTGAGAGATTTGTTAATGTTAAAACCTAATAATTACAGTATGCCCAATAAATTAACTAAGAGAGTTTTGCTTGCTGAAGTTTCCAAATGTTTTGATCCACTAGGTTTAGTGTCACCCCTTACTATAAGAGGGAAATTATTAATTCAGGAAGCATGGAAACTTAAATGTGCTTGGGATGAAATTCTACCTGAGGAATTCATTAACAGGTGAGATGAATTAATTGGTGATTATGAAAAATTTCCAATGTTGGAGTTCCCACGCCAGGTGGCCAATCCAAATGGGAAAAATGTACTCGACATTTTTTGTGATGCTTCAAAATTGGCATATGGGCAGTTGCTTATCTTCAATGTAATAGTGTTATTTCTCTTGTTATGTCTAAGGCTAAATTGTCTCCAATTAAATCACATACCTTACCTCAGTTGGAATTAACAGCCATTTATGTAGGTGTCAAATTAGCTAATTATATAAGAAATAATTTGCAGGAGATAAATATTAGCGACACTGTAATTTGGTCTGATAATGAGGTATCCTTACAATGGATTCGCAATGGAAACAGTAAAATTGTGTACATACAAAACAGAGTCACTGAAATTTATCAGATGCAAGAGAAGTATAATAGTTTGGGTCAGCATATGTTAACATTTAATCATATACCTGGTAAGGAGAATCCAGCTGATTTCTTGTCTCGAGGCTTACTTTATGCTAAATTTGTAAATGCTGTATCATGGTTTAAAGGACCGAGCTGGTTGGTAAATAAAGCTAATTGGCCTGTACAAAAGGCGTACATTGCTCCTGTTGAAATTACTGTGACCACTGCTCCAATAGTTTGTCCTTCTTTATCCATTGATATAAATAGGTATTCTTCTTTACCCAAACTGATCAATGTAACTAAGTTGGTGTTTGAATTTCTAAACAAGATAAATATTTCATATAAGTTTTCACATCCTCTTGAATATTGGCTAAAGAAGGTACAGGAGGAAATCTATGGAAATGAGATTAAATTGAGGATGGAAAGAAAAATTGTGAAAGGTTCTATAATAGAGAAATTGGGGCTGTATTTAGAGAACAATGTAATTAGGTGCAGAGGTAGGTTACAAAATGCTGAATTGGGTGATTATGCTAAACACCCTATCTTACTGCCCAAAACTCATCATCTAACAAATTTGATTGTTCTAAATGCCCATAAAAATGTAATGCATGGTGGGGTACAAGATACCTTAAATTGTATTAGGGAAACTTTCTGGATTCCACAAGGACGGCAAAGTGTAAAAAGGGTGATTAAATCTTGTGTAATATGTCGCCGTGTGGATGCCAGATCCTATATGTACCCAGGTCCTCCACCGTTGCCAAATCAGCAATTTGAGTCGTTTAGCAACAACCTCCGCCTGGCCGCAGTGTGGAAAATACTGCATATATTTTCCAGAAATTTAGTATTTATATGTAAATAGATGGCCATACTGTATTTAATAATATTTATCATAGAAAACGGAAAGCCTGCGTCTACGCAGACGAGACTCGCCATCTTGGTTTTGAATTGAACAGAACGTTAGAGTGAATGGGAAAAAAATTTCGTGCTCTAGAGGATAAAATTGGGCTGACACCTCTCAAATAGGAGGCGAAATTGTTGGATGTGCATTCCTGCATAATTTGAGTATCAGGCGACTGGACAAGACAGCTCCAGGAACCTCAGATAAGTCTGTTTATGTTTAATTCTGACCAGTAATTTCATAAATTTAGACAGTGAGGTTTTCTGGGTATAATACACATTAATCTCCAGTCAAATTGGTGAGTGATATTAAGATATATTTTCCTTCTGTTATGTAATTGTGTATATATATAACCATTTATTATTTTTAATATACAGTCCACAAATTTATATATTTACCAGTATTCCTGGTGTATGTATAATTCATTTAATTAATAGGTCCAGAGCAACTTGTGGATATGACAGTGGTAGGTATCGAAGGGGGACATTTTTTTGCGACCTAGGTGTCCCAAATTCCTACTTGTCTATGTAACATTGATAAATAATAATTATCTTTGTTATCATTTACTGTTATGTACATAATTAGTTACATTCAGATAAATACAATTTTCCACAGGTAGTTTACTGTAGATAAGACTGACCTCTGAAATACGCTTTTAGCTATGTAAAAACTAGTCTGCAAAATCATGTACAAACGTATGGACCTCGGATAAAGCCTATCTTATTTTCGGGAGAACAAGGAGTTTTATTATTGGAGAGACCAGCCAAAGGAACACATGGAAACTGATTATTCAGACGAGTCACAGAGATGTCAGGAGAGAGTTTCACATCAGAGCAACAGTGGAATGAAGTGTGGGACGTCATGGTGGAGTCAGAATCACACATGGTAGAGACGTGAACACTTTACCCAGCGGTGAGTTTAGATTTAAAGGACTATTGATCGCACGTTTATTCCTTAATTAAAATGAGATGAATATAAACTCTAAGTGAGCCATATAGAAATATAAATCGCTCAACCAGTATACACTGAGAGATGTGTATACTGGTTGAGTGTGTTTACTCGTCTATATGTGGTTGCAGGAGTCGAGTCATAGCTCCTGGCCCAGTGTGTGTGTACACAGAACTAACACTCACGAACTAGCAAGATAATTACACAGCTGCAGATAAGGAATAAAACGTAACTACCTTGGGTGTGTAGATATACAGATTGAGGCAATCCTCGACTCCAGTTGTTATGCCCAGAGCTGCCTGGGCACAGGGCATACCAGGGTGTGTGGCATCCAGTACCCCGTCCCACTCCACTCCAGTCACTGGCGCCTGCAACCGTATTAACATTACACATTAACATAGCTCCAGATTACCATTATTAGTATTATTATTATTATTATAACCCACATAGAAACTCAGGAGATTAATTGATCAGTATATTTCAACCCCCTTCTGGGGTCATCTGCTGAAGAGGATCCCAGAAAGGGGTCGAAATATACAGATAAATTAATCTCCTGAGTTTCTGTCACCATATTAGGTTATTACTGAGCACTGACAAGTGTTCATTACACTTTAGTTATTATATATTCATGGTAAAGCGTTAAACAAGTAGGGGGCCATACAGCGCCTGGGGAATGGGATGCAATTAGGTTTGATCCAAGGAGGTGGGGAAAGGTAGCTCTCCAGTCCCTCGAATCAAGAGCATTTGTGTTATCATCTTACCATGAACCTGTTTTTTGCGACGGGTGCCTGAGCGTATGGTATGGCATTGAAGGCATGGTAATGGCGCCCACTCTGGCTCTCCTTAATGGTGCCTCTGACAACACCGCCGCCCACCCTCACCTCGGCTCCACCCTCACCTTGCCCGCCCACCACCGCCCACGTCAGCGCCGCCCACGCCCACCACCACGCCATCCTTCAAGATAAACAAGTTCATAATGCTTTGATTTTATGATTAATATTTTTTTTTTCAAGATAACCATGATTGTTTATTGAAAAAGAATTATATTTATAATAATTACATTAAGACTTACCATTGTACAGTAGGTCCTTCAGGGTAGAAACATAATAATTAAAATAATTTCTTGAAAGATAATTCATAGGCATAATCGTGCATTTTAGGTATTAATGAAGTCACATTATAATCATAACTAAGCGCTAAACCCACAAGGGTCATGCAGAAATAAGTCACAATACCATGACTACAACAAAAGTCTATAATTTTGAAATTAAAATTATCACAATTCTATATAAACTACCCCTCAAGGGAGGTTCCTTGACGCTGGTGAGGGGCTCTTGATCTAGGGAATTGGATCTGTGCTCCAGTTCCCTGAATTAAGCCTGGATGCCTTCCACACCCCCATAGGCGCGGTATAATCCTACGGGTTTAGCGCGACAAATTATGTCTGTGTGAACAACTCATTACGACTTACTAGATCAATAACTTGTAAATAGTTCATTATCTCTGCATATTAAATATATTAAAATGTTATATGACTGCTTTGGGTCGCATCCTGGTGGAAAATGCTATGGGAATGTGTTTGAAGTAAGTTTATTTAGGTACAGGTACACATTATTATAATCTAAACCCACGAGAGACTTACAACGACTGGTACACACAAGTACAAGTATCATAAACTACTCAGGATAACCCAAAAAAGTCAAAGTAATAATATCTTTATTTCTACAAGTACATGTACAAGGTATACAGACCATATCTGACATCAATGTCATACTACTATATAGAAAGCCGCTTGTTATGCTGAGCATTTTGGGCAAATTAGGTCAATTTTGTCCCGGGATGCGACCATACCAGTCGACTAACACCTAGATACCTATTTTACTGATGGGTGAACATAAATAACCGGTGTAAAGAAACACGCCCAATGTTTTTACCCTCGCCGGGAATCGAACCCGGACATCACCGTGAGAAGCGAGAGCTGTAGCCACCAGGCCACGAGCCATCTAAACACCTGCCCCGAGTGACTTATTTCCATTGGGGTCTTGGTGAAAGATGCTGGACTACACTACGAAGTCATCTCTCAGACACCCACATTTTCGTTCCAGTGTCATGTCACACCTTCGACGTTCTTAGCCAAAATGATATACTGACGTGCAGACAGATGGGTAAAAAGTGAACTCAGTATGAAGCATTTTTTTGTTGTACAGTACGAAAAGAAGTTTTGAATTGAGTCAACTTACCTTGCTTCGAGTGCCAGATGCAAGCTGATGCAGCAGTGTGAGCTGATGCAGCAGTGTGAGCTGATGCAGCAGATGTGAGCTGATGCAGCAATGTGAGCTGATGCAGCAGATGTGAGCTGATGCAGCAGATGTGAGCTGATGCAGCAGATGTGAGCTGATGCAGCAGATGTGAGCTGATGCAGCAGATGTGAGCTGATGCAGCAATGTGAGCTGATGCAGCAATGTGAGCTGATGCAGCAGATGTGAGCTGATGCAGCAGATGTGAGCTGATGCAGCAATGTGAGCTGATGCAGCAATGTGAGCTGATGCAGCAGATGTGAGCTGATGCAGCAATGTGAGCTGATGCAGCAATGTGAGCTGATGCAGCAATGTGAGCTGATGCAGCAGATATGAGCTGATGCAGCAGATGTGGGAGAATGAGACGTGTGGCTGAAGTGTAGACCCGCTGCTGATAACCTCATCCTAATACAAACCATAATACACTACATGAGTTATTAGCATATTAAAGAAAACAAAGCGCTTAACCCGTGTAGATCATACACGCTGATTGTTATTATTAATAATATATATATATAATATATATATATATATATATATATATATATATATATATATATATATATTATATATATATATATATATATATATTATATATATTTTTTTTTCAACAAGTCGGCCGTCTCCCACCGAGGCAGGGTGACCCAAAAAAGAAAGAAAATCCCCAAAAAGAAAATACTTTCATTATCATTCAACATTATATATATATATATATATATATATATATATATATATATATATATATATATATATATATATATATATATATATATGACCCACAAGGACCATACAGTGCTGCACCAGTTAACCAGCTATACAGCCTATGCTGCATCCTATGATTGTTAAAAAATTGTCACTGTTATTATTTGGGACAGACGAGCCACCGAAATGTCTGGAAGTACTTCTTCAGTCTCAGATTGTATAATAATTTCTGCAAGTACATGTATAACGTATAAGGCCTAGCTGACATCAATAACATTCTACTATATAGAGAACCCCTTGTTATGCACAGCATTTCGGATAAATAGGTAAATTTTGTCCCCAGGATGCGACCCATACCAGTCGACTAACACCTAGGTACCTATTTTACTGCTAGGTAAACAGGGACAGCAAGTGTCTTTAAGGAAACACATCCTAATGTTTCCACCCGTACCGGGGATCGACCCCCGGACCTCTGCGCTAACAATCAAGCAATCACAACTATGCGCCAAACCTTGTCTCAGAGTGGTCGGAAAGTGAAATGATCTCGATGAGGAATCCTTACATAGTTTTAAGAGGAGGTACGATAGGGCTCACGAGGCTACGAGGGGGTGAATCTAGCGAGTGGCAACAGGCGGAGCCAAGAGCCGAGAATTAATCCTCGCAACTACAAATAAGCAAGCGCGCGCACACTCCAGAGATGGGACACAGCAGCAAGAGGTCACATTATAATAAAAAAAGCGCTAAACCTACAAGGGTCATACAGCGCCGCCGGGCAGGGAAGGATGCGGGGGTAATGGGTAGCAAGAGGGAAAGGGATGATTATTAGGTCATGGAGTAATAAAGGGTCACAGTTGGAAGTTGAAGACTCAAATGAATCACAGGGATGTTAAGAAGTATTTCTTCAGTCACAGAGTTGTCAGGAAGTGGAATAGTCTGGGAAGTGATGTAGTTGAGGCAGGATTCATATATAGTTTTAAGAAGAGGTATGATAAAGCTCATGGAGTAGGAAGTGTGACCTAGTAGCGGCCAGTGAAGAGGCGGGGCCAGGAGCTGTGACTCGACTCCTGCAACCACAACTAGGTGAGTACACTTCGGGCCCAGGAGCTGTGAATCCACCCCTGCAGCCACAAATAGGAGAGTACACATACACACGTTATCACTTATGGTAAACGAGACTTTCCTCAGCTATTTCAGAGTAAGCTTCACATGTCATTTGAAGCACAGATTTACAATTTAATTTCTATATTAAACTAATGTATTTAAACAAAATACATGTCAAGTTTCTTGTTAAGATCTTATAATATATTGATATGGTGATGCACCTCATAAAATAAGTAAATTAATTTGGTGCCAAGAGAGGTTGTATCCACTGACAGATGTTGGTGGGAACCTGACAGGTGGACACTGCTCAATGATAACCACTATACTCATGGGGGTAGCGCTCAACCCGTAGGGGTCACATAGCACCTAGGGAATGGGAAGCAATCAGGAAGATGGCTAGTCTCGGGGATCAAGAGCCCTTCATTGTATCAAGAACCCCTGGAGGGGTCTCAAACATCTGACTGGAGTGAAGGGAGTCTGAATCCCCTGGGCAGAATCCAGGTACCTACCTTGAGGGATCTGAAGCTCCTGACCATTACAATGAAACATATTCGGTGTTATACACACACGAGTCACAGGAATGTTAGGAAGTATTTCTTCAGTCAAAGTTGTCAGGAAGTGGAATAATCTCGAAAGAGATAATGGAGGCACGATCCATACATAGCTTTAAGAAGAGGTATGATAAGGCTCATGGAGTAGGGAGATTTTTTTATTATAATCAAGGGGAAGCGCTATAGCCGGAGGATTATACAGCGCCTGGGGGGGATGTGGAAGGCATTCAGCCTTAATTCGGGGAACTGGAGCACAGATCCAATTCCCTAAATCAAGAGCCCCTCGCCAACATCAAGGAACCTTCCTTGAAGGGTGGAGTAGGGAGAAAGTTGACCTAGTAGCAGCCAGTGAAAAGGCAGGGCCAGGAGCTTTGACTAGACCCCTGCAACCACGATTGAGCGAGTACACACACACACACACTTGCTTTAAACGCAAAAGAAATTTTCCGTATACAATCACATACAATAAGCACTAAAATCCTATACACCACAGTACCTGGGGAAACAGGTGATCAGAGGGGTAGAACTGGTTCAATTTCATGCATAAAGGACCATCCACCGGCATCAAGAAACTTTTCAGCAGAAATTGACTCCTGAAAGTTCCCACAGATCCCAAGGGGCACTCTGTTAATGAAAAAAATCCATAAATTTATTTTTGTCTGCAAGGGCCACTAAACCAGCCACTTCCCAAAGACATTCATCTGTGATCTTTGAAGTCCCGGAGGCAGAACTCTGCTAAAGAGTTAACTTGTTATAAGAGCCTTTACCCCAGTACGGTTATTTCCCGGTACACAAACTTGGTCCAGCGACTAGCGTAACCCCATATCCTTGTGCTGCACGTGAAGATGGGTTAACCACCCTTGGATCTTTTGGACATAAGCATACTGGGACAAGATTAACATCACACTGACTGGGAATCCGAGTAGTCTGTGGACCAAGATTCAAGCTAGTTATCAGGACACTTAAATTTTAATCAAAGGAAAGCACTAAACTCATCAGGGTCATACAGCACCTTGGAAATGGAAGGCAGTCTGTTCAATCTAAGGAAAAGAGGAATCAAATTTCTTGAATCAGAGCCCTTCACTAGAATTAAGGAGCCTACATGCCTTGAAAGAGATATCAGGACAAGACCAGTGAAAATTACATGGAGCTCTGCAGTTACCAGACTTCTTTTCTTCAGTAACTGAGCACAATAATACTTTATGGTGATCATCTTTAAGCCACAGACACACTGACCCTTCATTCTAGACAGTTATCCTTGAAGCATGAAGAAAATCGTGCTCTAAAAAATTAGCAAAGGTCATCACTAGGGATCAGCACTTAGGGGTCCCCAACCAATGCCTACAAAGACTTACCTCAGGCACTGGCTAATGAGAAGCTAATCTCTGACCAGACACACAACTAATCTAGGAGTGGTTCACATCAGAACACCAAAGCATTGCATAACCTGAAAAATGCTCTTTCCTCTCCTCCACAAAGACAGCAGTGCAAGCTGGGTTGCCAGATGTACACCAAAACAGGTAGTGCAGATCCAGGGAAAGCTCATTAAAGAGGCTTTTAACAGGGGTAGTACAGAATGCACCTGTGCAGTCATGTCCTTTGGTGATGGATAGAATTTAGAAAGTGAACTGTACTCCATCCTGGAATAACACAAGGATGCATGGTGAAGTATGGCCCTCCCTCAAATGGCAAAAATACCTTAAGAATGTATCACATCCAAGGAATATAAACAACAGACGTGGAGTAGAAATTTTTATTACCTTTAATTCTCACAATTTAACTCATTACAATGTCATAGAACAGAACCTTGGGATGGATCAGACAAGCTTTGGATGATGTATGAGGAAGAAAACATGGAGGAAAACAGCAGTATTAAGATAAAAATAAACCAAAGTTAACAGTACCCTGGAGATCCTAAAAAAGACAGATCACACTACACTAATGCTCCCCCCCCCTAACAATGCACTTGTGGAATAATGAAATGTAATACAACGCTTGCCACTAACAAACCCTGTCGATGGATGGGTCCATTATTATATTTAATAAAGATCTTGACCTATATGGGGTCAGATCGGTCCAGTCAATGAAGGTATAATAAAAAGTGAAAACATGTTTAGAATAATGAAGATTAATTTTCTTACATAAATTGAATGTACCTCAAAAGGAATTCCTGAAATTTAACAATCCTTAATATACTGTACTGTATTAACATACTGTTACTTTGAAAATTATAGGGTCTTACAAAGGTAATATTTCCATATAATAA